GCTATTTATGATGCAGGTAGTTCACCTGCATGTAAGAAGGTGGTCTATGTGCCTTCACATAGACTCATCATGTTAGCCAAGTTAATAGTTTGCTGAAATAAAGATAATCTAAATACTTTTTAAGGGGGTTTCAATATCAGCTCCTGTACAGCACACGAGTAGATTTATAGTTCTGTAGTCAGTAAATACAGTCATATTTAGATTATAGATACTAACATTTTGAGAGCTACTAAGCAACCTCTACAGTCTTGCTTTCTGGAATAAGGGCTCCCCAAATGATTTAATAAAGCACAAAGGAAACAGGATTTCCTATTCACTGAATGACAGCAACTCCAGTTCTTTCAATGAAGTGGAAACTAGTTCCCACAAGAGCATGAGAAGTGCTCAAGGTAACAAGGGTAGACCATCAAAAAGGTTATTGAGGGAAGAGAGAGACAGAGGGAAGAGATCAGCGTGCTGACTCTCAGAAGAAGCAGAATACTAAATCAGCACCATTCCTGTTGACGTTGTTTTTACAAAAGAGCCAAACGATCAGGGAAACCTCTTTGGTCTTTAAAGAAAATTTAAAAGCCTCCTGGATGTGCAAATATTTTTGCTACATGCTTTGCTTACACAACCAACAGACACTTGCAGGGTATTATGAAACTACTCACTATTCATTCTGAACAACTTAGAGTACACACTCAGGAAAACAGAGTTCAGTTTTCACATTAATCAAAACCATTTCCAATTCTTTAGTCTGCTCCTATCTTTCTTATTTGTGATTTTAGAGTTGATTGTGAGACCCTAATAAGGCACATCCTCAAAGAGATACGTGTAAGTAAAATGCCAGAAAACTCCTTCATTTCAGACAGCCAGTTCAGCATCTTAACAACTACAGCTGTGCAACATCAGTTTCTCCCCTATACTTGAAGCAGCTGTCCTACAATGTATTGAATTTTCTATCGGGAACAAAACTTTGATCAAAACATAGCATTAAAATCAAGGTCCTTTTTCAAGAAATGACTGAACATCAAGATGTATGATGATACTTACTGTCCCTTCCTTTCCTCCCTTTCAATAAAAGCTAATTTTATTTTCAATAATTCTACAGCAAAAAACAAACTCCACCTTGATTTTATAGCATCTTCAAATATTAGTCTTTGAACATTTTGATGTCAGGGCAAAACTTCCCAAAGAGCCTTCTACAGCATACAGAGAACAATGGACATGCACACCTCTAAAGCTGTCAAGGGAAGAGCTCAACACCAGTGTTTGGGTACAGCTCAGGTTCAGTGACCACTGCTTATCATTTTGAGCCCTCCAGCTATTTTGAGAATTCCACCTGCAAACATGCCCACTCCTCAGAGCGTCAGTCATGCTGCCTAAGTGACTTTTGTATGTGCCTTCACTTTTGCACATACAAACCAGGACTTATCATTCCAACTCTTCCAAGTTTTTTTTTAAATGCTAATGCAAAGTGGAAACAATTGCAAGCACTAGGTAAGATAAACCCCAAGCAACTTAGGGGATGCCAGCTTAGGCGAAATCAGTTAAAATTGAGCCCCCAGTGTATAATAAAAACAAACATTATATAAAACTGGTTTTTAGGAAGATTTATACAGAGATATCTTTCTTCAGCTAATCCCAGTTTTGGACCTAAACGAATAATCAAAGCCTTCACATAGCACTGACACAACTAAGCATTTTCAGTTCACAGAATTTAAAACATTAATATTAAAAGCTTTTAGTATTAAAAGCAGAAAATAATGCTCAGTCTCAACTGCAACAGAGCTGGAACACCAACGAAATATGTTACCCATGCAGCAGATTCTTGAGGAAGTCACAATATTCACCAAATATCAAAGTACAAATAGTTTAACATTTAGTTACTGCTGTCAGTATGGCTCTCAAGTAATTCATACACTGACAACTGTAAACAATGCTCCTTATATTTCGTAGAGTCCACCACTATACTGTAAAGCATACTTCCATGTGACTACAATATTAAGCAAGAGGACAAGTTCTGTAAGATTTGTCCTTTGGCAGGTTTGTTGAGATGATGGTAGAATCAAAAACCTGCAACCGATGAAAGCTAAACCCGTATAAAGATGTCGAAAACAGTCATCATCAAAACTGTTTATTTAAAACCATACCTGTTTACGTTCAGGAAATGATTTAAATAACATACAATGTAATGAGAAATGCAAGACTCCAGAAGGAATTGGGAACTGGTATTTTGTATTTACCTTTGGTATTCCTGAAGTGTCAAGCCAATTCTGGAAGATACTTTCTACAGTTAACTCAGATCTTAAAAAATCAAAAATAAAAAAAGTTAGAAGACACATAACATTTTTTTCCACGTGAAAACTAACCCTTTAGAAGCTGAGCAAAACCCTGAATTCCAAGTGTTGGTTGTAGTGCAGTGGTACTACATTCTTGTTTTTTAAATGAGTAATACCATCAGGTGATGTGAGCAAATTAAAAACAGATCAGGTTTTGTTTGCTTAAAACTCAAATGATAAATTCAGTGCTTATGAGGATGGACAGAGAAAGTGTAAGATGGTAAACTGCGTTTATGAAACGTGAAGTATGAACAGGTGCTCTACTTCTTGTTGAGTGGATTTTTGTTTCTTTTACCAAAAAAAATCACAGGCAAGTAAATTTAGCTGGAGACATTCAAAACCTGTATTTTATTACAGAAGCAGCCTACATGTAAAGATAAAATACCAAAGAAAATGAAATTAAATACAAACTTCCTTAAATTTTTGGGTCTTAGGAGGCACTGATGGATATTAATTCTCAAAGTTACCAAGTATCTAATATACTTCAGTTTCATCTTTTCTGCACTTTCCTTATATCCTGATAACATTCACAGTAAAGTCACAGAATAGTCTGGAGCCCCAACAAAAGGCAATAGTTTGTCATGATCAAGCTGTGTGGGACTGGAATAACCACATGCATAAGTATTTGCAAATTCAGAAATTGTATTTCCCCTTTTACTTTTGTAAGCAACTTCTGTTGCATTTACTTCAACTCTGGTTGAAGTCTTCCTAACCTGCAGGGAAGCCAATTTAAAAAAACAGAACAAAACAAAAAAACACACTGTCCATGCAGTGTGCCAATACTGAAAAAGGAACTTGAGTAAGCCCTCAATGAATGTAAATATCCTGAGAAGCAAAATAGATGTGCACAGTCCTGTGCATGGTAATGCCTTGGCAAGACTCATTCTAATACTTGCAGCTACCTTCATGTGTGTAGTGTAGACCCATAACCAACAAAGCATTCATGAAAAGAACAGCCATTTAGAAGCTCTGAAGCAGGAAGTCAAGCAACCCAATACAATTTTTATTTGAATTACATGACAAAGAAGCCTTTTTTTTTTCCCCCAACCCCTGACAAAGCTGTGCCCAAAATTCTGACCCTAAAGGATGTTTATGGACTGTATCAGTGACTAAGAAGGATTTGTAATGAATACATCAGTCATTTTTACTGAACGATTTTTAAACACCTTTAAATATTAACTTTTGCTATGCCAATGGGAGAGGTATCAATCACAGTTACGCCTGCCATGCAAATGGGAAAACTGAGGCTTAGAGAACCTATGGAGTCTCAAAAGCAGTCAAGCAATATGTTACTGGATGACGCTGGAACACATTCATAGAGTAAAAATTTCTGTGTGTTTACTGATCATAGTTATTACATTTTTTTAACTTGGCTAGCTTTATTTGGAATGACTAAAGATTTAAATTATTGCTATTAATATGTGTAACAACAGTACTATTCCAGACATGGCTTATATCCCGAGTTAGATATTCTTATCCTTGTTGAATCCAAGATGAAAAATTTACCCTCCCTCTCCAAGCAGAACTAGGTATTAGCATTCCTTTGAGGTAGAATTAGCAGCTACAACCTCCACTCTACACCATTGTGTTGGGAGATCTGCCATCCCTACTCACATTGAGCAGTATTCTGAAGGAGGTCCATTAAAATGAGCAGGTCTACCTAATAGAATAAAATTCTTCCAATGTGAATTAGGGGTGGGAGAATCTCATCAAAATAGAGAGTCATCTGGCTTCTCATTGAGTAATTGTTCAACAGTATATGCAAAAAATAAGCAATCTGGTCTTGATAAGCTTGTCCAACACACACAGGAATTTTGTAACAAAGGCAAAAACCAGACACCAAGTGCCTTAAACGTAACAAAGTCTTCCTTACAAATGCTGCCCTATGTCTTCAGCTACTAAGATATGCTTGCACAAATGGGCTACAGCATCATACTGAAAATTGGAAGAAGCTTCAGATTAAAGAACATTCAGATTACAATGACAATAAAGAAATTTATACATGCTTTCATTTTCTATTAATAGTTTTGTTCAGTTTTTGATCACTCATATCTTATGGTGCAGGCCAAGGAGGCTTAATGTGGAAACAGCACTAGTCTATTCGTTGCTGGTAATATATTTTGATTGTTCATGCAATTTAGGTCCAAACTTTACCTCAACAGTGTCTTTACAAGTAAGAGATGACATATCTCTTACTTACTTTTTAAGATGACTTTAAAAGTCCCAGAAGGGGGAATAATTCCCATAGAGACAAAGAAATCTTCCCAATCACTAAATCTGAAATGTCAAAATATCTCTTGTAACATTACGAGATCGTAGACTGTCACAGACAAAAAAAATAATTCCCTCTGATCATGTGATTCAAATAATAGCAGCGGTCATGCAGAAGCATTTCTACGTGGCCAGGATTCTGAATTTTCAGGCAATTACCATTCTGCATGTCTGATCACTATGGAAATCGATTTTCTACATATAACTGAACATATACGCCATGCTTGTAATGGGGTAGTGTTCTACATTCAAATTAATTACTAAATATGCAGATTTGGTCAGCTTTTAGTAGTACCTTGTTATTTGTGCAAATTCATTAAATTTAGAGCATTTGACTGCCAGATCCTTCAGGCTATAATTACCTTTACCTTACTACAGTGCTCTAAAAATTGGAGTCTAGTCTAAGTTAGTTTTAGTTAGCTGAGTCCCTACCACAGGGAATGGATAGAAAGTATCTCCAAACAGTCAGTCAATTCACCTTCTTCAGGATAAGATGACTTTTTTTTTTTGAGTTCTTATTTCTGTCTGGTTACTACAGAAAGCACATACAGGACTAGCTTAAAACTGGACACCCAAATTTTATATAGTCAAAGGTAGATCAGGTGGATCGTACCATTTATTCTGCCTCAAACAGCTTTTTTTTATTTGTTATTGCATGAATCAAAACCAATACAGCTTAGTGTTCCAATGCTGAAGCAGAGCTAGCAGCTAGGGAAAAATACCCTTATTTGTGCATTTAATTTGTCTCACCTAGGGATAAGAAACAAAGCCTCACAATGCCAGTTTGTCCTTCCTCCTCCCCCCCCCGAAACTAAACTGAATTTAAAGTGCGAGATTTCCTCAGGAAAAAAAAATCTATGCAAAATAATAACACTACCTTTGCTATGCAGTGCCTTTGTTTAATATACCCTCTATTTCTTTCAAAGCCAACAATAGCTCATTTCAAAACACTGGCTTTGAAATGAGCTTATGACACTGAGGGGGATTGCACTGTTCTGACACAACACTAATCCAGGCAGAAGCACCACTAGTAAGTTGTTCAGCCTCTCCTGAAACTTTGACATTTTTCTCAAGGGCAAAGACAGCACGCTGCTATTTCTCTGCCTGCAGCACCCTCAGTTTCAGCTAAACACCTGTCACATGACCATATGCAGTCTCCTTTGTTGGTACTTTCACACACCTTTTTTTTTTCCAACTTAGGACATTCTTGTTAGCACCCATCAAAAAAAGCAACTTGTTTTAGCATTTTACAGGCATTCACTCTTTTTTTTTTCCAAATATTTTAGTAATATGCAGACTATTGCAAAGATCTACTCTGAATGTGTTCAGAGACAATACTGAAGAACTGTGAAGTCCTTGGAAAGGTTTCCACTAACTTCTTTGGCTTCGAAACAAGCCCAAAAAATAGATCACAGATTGCTATTTCAAAACAAATGTCCTAGAGAAAGGACACAGGGCCTGCTATTTATAGAGGCTGCAGTTCAGTAAAGCATCCATATTCAAAAAGGGCACTTACCACCTGCTTATGTTGCAGTTAAGCATCTGTAAGGACTTAAATCTGGTGGGTGTATGATTTCCTGAATGGCCTTCTGGTTAAGGTACTGTATTGGACTGTGGGATCTGGGTTCAACTGATTAGCACTATAACAGAGCTCTTACAAGGCTGGGCAGGTTCTTCAATTGCTTTGTACTGCAGTTCCCTACTGTAAAATAAGAATGCTAGTACATCCATTAGCTCATCCATTGTCTGTTTGTTTAGATGATAAGCAGATCAGCGTAGGAATGATCTCCTAACATACATACATACTGTTCATGGCCAGATTCAGTGCTTCAAAGCAAGCTCTATAAAATACTAACATTAATAATAATTTGAAAATTAGCATTATAAAAGATGTGTATATATCAAGCTTTCATTGCACAAGGCCCGAAGGCACTCTACAAACTTTATCATAAACCCACTTAATTCCTCAGTCAAGGAGGAGAAACCACTTTTAGAATAAGATGTTGCAGCAAATAAACAGTGCACGTGGAAGTGTGCAACTTTTGTTTTTTTCCCCTTTGGTAAAGGAAGATAAAAAGTCTGCTATATCCAACTGAAAATACTTCAACAAGCATGTTTGCTTCATCTGGATATATTCATTCATACACATCAATCATTTTCAAAGTAAGCCATTCCAGCTAAATATGGAGGCATAGTTAGAGCAAACCAAAGACTAGTGACTCATTAGTGATTCTGTCAACTAGCCATAGCTTCCTGCAGATAAGATTTCCTTTGTTTTTTGTCCAGCATATATATTTTGGCGTACCAAAAAAATGGAGGAATCAAAAACACTGGAAAAAACCTTTCCCAATGATTTACTTTGGGACTTGGGTGCCTACCAGCTGTTTGTCTCAATCAAAATCACCACATTCATGACAATGTGAGTAATGAAGAACGCAAGTATGAAAGAAAGAGACATATACCTGTACAGCTGAGTAGTTTGAAATTACAGCATTATTTTAACATTGATTTAGTACTTAATTGACAATTTATGAAGACATCCAAGGACTGTGGTTAGTAAGCCTGCGTTGTTAACAGTACAAATAGCAGAGCTGTAAACAAGCCTTCCTTTGTCTATCGTGTATTATTAAAACCATAGCTTTACTAGTACACTTATTTTATTGAATGAAATTAAATAAAAAATACCACCAGAAAACCCCAAAGAACAGAACTGACCTGCTCAAAAAAATCTTCAGTCGTAAAGAGCACAAGCAGCTGAAACTCTGATTTATCTGAGGCTGGTGAAACTCACCCTCTGTTACAGGGCCTTAAAAACACTGAGTCTTTGCATGGTTCACATGTTGGGCAGATGTGGAGAGGATCAATTTACAGCAAAGACTAGGGGTGTAAGCCTTGGGGAAAACAGAGCCGCTGGGCTTTTTATCAAATCTAGTGCACTGTGGTATACAGACACATAAGAGGAGTTTTTGTTGTTGTTTGGTTTAGTTTGTGGGTTTTTTTTAACGTAGCGAAGTTTCAAATTATATATGAGGAATAAAACGCCTCAGTTACAGGTGGGATGTACTGTAGATTTTCTACAGAAAGGCCAAGATAATGTAAGGCTATAGCCAGTGCATGTTATATTTTAAAAGTCTTTGAAAACAGAGAAGGGTAATGATAGGTATTTGTTTGTCCTTCTTGCCATTAGCCCTTCACACACAGAAATAATCTGCCTTAAGGGCAAGTTAGGCAACTCTAAAGGACCAGAAGCTACTGCTAGGCCTGTCTCATGTCAGTATTCAGCCGCAGTCCAGAAACAGGAAGATCCTGCCTTAGAGAATGGATTCCTAGTGCTAACATGCCATTAAAATTGAGTCAGAGCAGGAAGTGAAGTAGCCGTATAAACTACGCATATAGTCCTCCTCCTCTGAGTACAGAAGGCAGCAAAAATCAATGACTGCCTCTTAAGAAGTTACGTCTGTATCTTGGAACTGCTCATTGCTGGGAATGTACTAAAAAATCTCCTGCAACTAAAAACTAAAGGAATAAGTACTGGAAGAGTGACAATCTTTTAGATATAGTCTGCTGCATGCAATAGCAGAAAACCAATGTTGGGTTACACCAACATAATAATTACAGAAAATTTCCACACTGTTGTATGATTGCTTTCTGCCAGTGTTAATCCTGTTCTCATTACCAAAGTCTCCCATAAGCCAAATTCTACTCCTAGCTACACTAGTTTGCTTCTGTCGCCGCAGCTGAGGGCAGGATTTGGCTTGATTCCCTACTACTAATTTATCTTTTCTTCTTCTCTTTTTTTTTTTTTTATGATTAAGTCCAGCCTCCATTACAAACTTCAGTATATTGGAGTGCTTAATATTTTCCAAGTAAGTAGCATTTAGTTTTAACATTAAAATTTTACTTGGTAGAATTGCACAAGTCTGGGAGGTTTTGTGTGCTACAAAGAATTTTGTTGCTCTAATCTTGAAATGCACTTCACTCCTACGACTGAACTTTGTGCAAAAAAGCACTCATCAGCAGATGATCTCTAAAAATACTTCATTTTTATCTTTCGTCCCTTTGCTTTTACCTCAGGCTAGTATTTGTGTACTAGCAACAGAAAACATTCAAGAATGAAAAAACATCTTTGTAGCAGGTAAGAAATAAAGGCCTTCTCTATATCCAGATGTTCTATTATTCTTGGCGTTGCTGTTGGTAACTGCACCCAAAGTAATTTGGCAGTAGGTAAGTTCAGATATGCTATATGTCTGATTGTAGCATCAGCATAAAAATGAATTACCATAGACCTGAAATTTTGTCCATATGTTCTGGAGTATGATGCAACGCAAATGGAGACATACTTCTTTTGCATTAGTCTCACTGAAAGTTTAAATATTTTGGTATGTTTCTAGGCTGAAAATTGGAGGCTTATTCAAATAACATTTTGCACTGGGTTTGAACTTCAGAGAAACACAAGTGAAAAAAGGAAGGAAAACAGGTATTTTAACAAATCAATGTATAATCATGCCATTTAATAATTCACTTTCACATATATTCCATTTAATATTCCTATTTGGACTGCAAACCCATATCCAAGGGTATAAACGAAATATCATCCTACAGTACATCATTGGAAAATGTAACACCATGGTGCAAACTAAACTCATGATGCCACAAAACACATTATCTCCATGATAACTAGCTTCTCTATCCCTCACCCTCTAAGAACAGAAGTGTGTCACTAAAAACTCAAGGCATTTGACTTCTATGAATATCTTCTCTCCCTTTTTTTCCAAAGTACTCACCCAGATTTATGAAGACTTTTGGAATCCTGCTCCCCAAAACTGCATTTTTCAAGCGAACACATTATTTTTAAAAACTATAATATGTAAAGCTACACTACAAAAGAATCTGTATTTGTAGCACAGTCTGTAGTAGCACAGAACAAATGAACTGATAAGCAGGGATGGATTCAAAGCTCTGCTAAAGACTAGCTGTATTATCTTCGGCCAGTCACAGTCACATACAGCAGGATTTTGAAGGACATTTCAGGCAATTAATGCTGGATTTCCGTTAGCGTTTTCCATCCTTCCCCGTTTGGCACAATGTGTGACAGGGAGGGGATGGTACCAGACTACTGCTTGAGGAAAATCCATCTTCTCTGGTTTCCTAGATCCACGGCAAAGCTCTGGCCTCCTTGCTCTAGGGTGCTATGTGCCAAAAGCAGCTGGCAGGAGGATCACAGATTAATTTGAAGAGGCAGCTGCGCCTGGCACTTCAGATCGCATAGTGAACACAGGACCTCACTGCTGCCCTAACATGCAAGTTAAACGCACTGCTTGAGGGAAGCATGCGATAGGAACAACACAGCAAGTCTCATATTTTTGTGTATATAGGTCTCGGAATTTTCGGAGGAAGATACACACATTTGAAAAAAGCAAGCAGAACAATACTAAATGAAATCCTACTATTTCTGGCTAGCACAGCTGATATTTAAATCTGATTTCTACTTTCTTCTTTGACTTTTCTAGCCTGGCTCTCACTTACTTTTTTTGTTCAGGGATGTCTTCCAACAGCATGCAAAGAAAATCCTGGAAAACAAACAAAGCACCACAGTTAGTATGTTTATGAAGACATAACTGTGTCTGCATTGCTAGTGAGTAATGGATTTATAAATATTGCAGATAACAATGATAAGAAAGAAGTTTATATATCCACTACGGTGATATACTGCTCAGTTATTTGTACAACATACATTTGTCAGTTTTCCAACCCACTCAAGCAAAAAGTGTCAATATTGAAAGAAAATGGGCTTGAAAAGCCTGCTGACTATTTTACACAATCCCACATTCCCACTTCTATTTAATCTATAATACACACACACAAATTATATTTAAAACTCTTAAAGTCTGCAGATTCACATACTCAAACGCTAAGAAACACCAGAATTAAGAGTGTTTATGTTCTCTCCACTTGCTTATGTTATCACACTGTCTTTAATTATATAACCACATGAGGCTTTTTTTTCCTTAATGCCCATACCTGATTGGAAGATCACACCTATTCCTCATTCCGTGACAAAATTCACAGTGTTGCTGCCAACCACACCAACTAAGAAGTAGATTCTTCAGAGAAAAGGTAGATAGAATTTCTTTCATGGATTTACAAAGAAGGTGCAATGCCAGTGTAACAGCATTACTATCATCCTCACTTATAATGTTATGATAAGCCCTCTTTCGAAAGTTACACCTGACATCACACAAAGGTTCTCTGGCACCCCATGCTATACATGACCTAATTTTAATGACAATCACTTTGGCACAAGGCACTCCTCTGAACAATCTCATGAGAAGAGGATTTATTAATATCAATTATTTATTTATATGCTATTTCAAAAAGCAATACCTCCACTTTATGAATACTAATCTTTGTGGAGACAAGTTTCATAGGCTAATGATGTTCCTCACTGCAATATATGAGTGCAGGCTGATTTCTGATTGCAAGTACTTGCTCCTTAAGGTCTTGAAGAATGTTTTCTAAAAGGCAGAAAACTTTTATTTAGGGACTCTAACATGGCATTCAACAAAAGATGCTGTTTCTCTGTCTGATTATGGCATTGTTAGGGAATCAAAGAAACAGTGATTGCACAACTGAAACTACTGGTAACACAGTTAAGCCTTCCTCCTTTAGATTACAGGTGAGATTCAGTCTATGTTGCAGTGGCCGCAAAATTTCCTTTGACAAAAGGTAAATTACACAGTGCTGGGCTCAGTGTTGCTGGGGCAAGAATGCCATCATTAACTGTGCCAGGAGTCGTTCTGTCCTAACTACAGTGGATTGCTGACATGATGATAAAGTGTGAAATCCCCTTACTTCATACTACTACTTGCAGTTCTGTACCATTATTCTGTATGTAAACAGAGAACTACTGTCTCCTTCTACTTGTGGAATCTTTGCTGGAGGTACAGAGTAAGCTTACATGGAAATAAAGAATACAAAAAGATCATCATTAGAGTTGTTTCAGAAGTGTATGAAAAGTAATACTGAAGTCGTCATCCTTGACACTATTTGCACTGTCTCTGTATACATTAATGCAGCTAGATTCCGTGATGGGATTGCATCAACTTTTTATAATCAATCCCACAGTACACCTGGAGATACCTCTGGTATTAGAAGTGTTTTTATATTCTGTATATTATACTATGAAATTAAACATCTCCTTTGTGATTAAAGCTGTCTTCATTTTTCCAAGTATCTATTAAGAATAAGGCAGTAGCCATCATTCTACACACTTTCTTAAAATTACAATTAATCTATTCTATCTTATTTTAACTGCTTCTATTTTGATGCTCCAAAACAGAGTAGGAAAACAAATTACCACTTATCTCATATTTGCATGGCTTTTAATGTTTGCCTATTATCAAGTCTGCATGACACATCCCATTATAGGTCTGACTTTTCAGTTGCTTATAATTTTGCCAAACTTTAACCATCTGGAGTGAAATTTTATCCTCAGGCTATTTTTTTCTTCCTCCCCAGCTGAAATGGTTCAGAAGCATCCAAAAGAAAAGTTAGGGATAATGTGGGTTTTTTTAAGCTTTGATGCCATTTTTTTAAGAGGTTCTAGTGACCTTACACTTGGAAGCAAAGACTTGTGGATGACCAGGGTAACCATAAATAAATGCTGAGTCAGATCATAAAACAAATTATAGTTTGGTTTTTGTCTTTGTTGCAAGTAATTCAATGAAGCCAGAAAGAAAATATGAGTTTGAAATCACATGCCACCACAGTGCTGCATTATTAACAAACTGGCTTATATTCATATTATTAAATAATCTCACTTCCCTACATACTCCTGTTGTTCTTCCCTGGCTGGAAACCAAGAGGCTAGAAAACAACTTTTCCCTATATACAGAAACTGTTATTCCGCAGTTTGTGGAATTTTGTTGTCATTTGGCCAAACTGAAAAAGCCTTTGAAAAATGAGTTAACACACGTTTGCTAAGGATTTGCTAGACCCTCATAATTAAATTCCCTAAAGACTCCTGTCTGCTTTCACCATAGTCCAGGCTGAAGCCAACAATTTTAATCACAACTGCAACTTCGGGCTGCTGCTGAGCAGATCAAATCTGGATACAGACTGTGAATTGAGATCAAGGAGAAGTTTTCTTTGCACTGTTAATGCATGTAGCATGTCTGAGTCAAAGGCAAAGAAGAGTGGGGACCCAATGACTGAGAAGTAAGTTGAGAGAAGTAATTTTGAGAACCCTAGGAATGAAGGCTACTTGAAGCAGTAACTGGAGAGATCTGGGTTTAGAAGACCTTTTATTTAATGACTAAAGATGCTATATTATTACTCCAATTCTTGTCTTGAGCAATGACCAGCATGTTTCTACTCTTGAACTGTTTTGGGGCAGCAGACAGGTACCTCTTTCTGAAAGGTACTTTACATGTTGATACTAAATAAAGAACACTGAATATCAAAAGACAAATTATATCCTCTTTATGAAAAACTCAAATCAAATTTCAAGTACTCTACGACCACAGATACTTTCAGTTAAATTCTCTAACTGAAATATAAATGGGGTGCATAAGAGTAATGGAGATTTTGTGACTAAAAGTGATACATCTAAAAGGACTTTCAGCTGGCAACAAACTCCAAATGCACTTTCATCCAATTTCTTACGGAAATTACCCACTCAAAGTTAAACTATCCCTATCAATTATGCAGTTTCTAAGTGACATAACTAAATGGTAAATGTTACTTTGTCCCTTTTGGGTGGAAAAATAAATAATGAGCACCCTTCATAGGATCCTGTTTATTTTGAATTCCCTCCCCACTCATCTTCCTGGCTTTTATTTAACAAAATCAGCAACATGTTGAAATCCTTCTCTTGGCGTTTTGGTAACAACCCCAGAATGCCCCTCCAAAGACAACTTCCTACCAAGAGTAGGCAAGACTCCCCAACTATATGCTCTATTATCAGGCAGCAATCATTAGCCAGACAGCTTAGCAGCCTAAGCCCCAGGCGACAGAGCCACTGACTAGCTCCAGTCAAATGCAGAATCTGTTGCCCATTTACCCCATACCAATGAACTGCATTCAGGTCCCTAGCAATTCCCTAAAGAAAAATGACCAACTATTGTGGCAAACAAGAAAACATAGCACATATGAGGATCTGACAAGGATTTCTGGTAAATCTTCCTGTGGATATTTAAGGTGGTATCAGCCCCCTGGATGGCCCTTCCCCGGCATTTCTCTGACTGGGGTTATTGTCCCTGTGTAGCAGAACAGCAGAAGGCAACCTGTATCCCTGCCCGAGCTGCCCAAATTGACAGTCCAGTGCTTTCACACAAACCAATCTTAGTAAACTGTCCCTACTAACAAGACTGAACTTGTCCTCTTAGGTACAGTGTGAATAACTAAGGGAAGCAAGTCTTAAATCACCCCAGCTGTATTTGTAAAAGGGTTTCTGTCAGAGCCCCAGGTCTTTTACAAAAATTATCTTTGTACATGTCAAAACACCTCAGAGCAGGTAAGTCCATTCAGGGACCAGATAAGTTGGAAAAAGTATGTTGACTGTCACTTAATTCACTGAACAAAGCATTGGCATTCCTCCTTACTTTATTGATGGGAAGGTTCAAACTAGACCCCAGGCAGGGAAGTGAAGGCATGCAGCTTGAACACACCTTCTCCTAATGCTTTGACACCAGAGCCTATGTTGTCTCAAATTCACTTGAAATGTTTTAATTTCTTCGGAAGTTACACAAATTCTCACTGTCCACTAAAAACAGTAAATATACCACACCATGTAAAAATTTCAATTAAACACAGATTCCTCCTATTTTACATGTATAAACATGTAAGAACCCACATATATACCTAAGAAAAAGATGGTTCTACATAGAGCCCTCAATCGTTCTTTAGACTTCTGTTTAAGACGATCCAGGAGAAAATCATATGTAAGATACATTTGACTGATTATTTCAAATACATCTCACTAAATCAAACAAAAGGTGTAGCTGTGATTCAGCATTAATAAAACGCACATGCGTTGGGTCTGCTCCCTTGTCAGTTTGCTCTGGTCAGAATTAAAGAATTTATCTTTTTTCCTATCAAATGATATTGCATGATAAGCTACCATGTAATTTTAAGCTTGAAAGATGCTAAATGGAAGCTAAGCAAATACAAAAACTTTGGTCAGCAGAGGAGTGAAAGACTACTGTAACAGAAGTGGAAGTGCAAAAAGATACTCCACAGCTGAAGACGGAGGCTCAACTTAGTAAGTTCAGCAGCTATGGGAAGGATTTGCGTACTCTATCAGAAATGTATGACATTTTCAGATATATGGGTCACTTCCCTGATAGAAGACAATTATATGTGTAAAACTTATTGCTTCTTTGAAGATCTCTATACTTGAGATAAATGATACCAAAAGATACTTGTTTTTTTAATACAACTATACTGTTGGACATTAAAATGTGTGACACATTAACTGACTTTTTAATCATTCATCTGTATTATACATTATTATAAAACATCTGGGCTCCTCTCAGCATCACTACTCTCTGGTTTCTTCTCCAGTTCCATTTCTAGCCCTACTTCATTCTGATCTCTCTGTCCTTTAAAATACAGAATTTATCTTATATAATTATGAAAAAATATCAGAAAAAAAGAAATAGAAAGTTTTCTCACAAGAAAAAAAACTTGCCTTATACCATGTTAATGACTTTTACTAACCTAGTCTTACTTATACTTCAAGCACAATATTTCAGACATTCCTTCTTTCAAGATGCTTGTACTGAAATAGAGATATGGCCTAAAGCTAGTCAGATTTTTATATACAAACACAATGGGTTGTTAAAATGTGCAGTGCAATTAACTGATCCATACATTAATCAATTGTCAAATATGTAAGCATTTTAAACACAGTTAATCTCAGGTTAAAATGTCTGACCTATTGAAGCAGTCTTTTTTATTGCCTGAGACTTGTTAGAACTTAACAGGTTGAACAGAAAGAGAAGGATATTGCATGGTAAATAAAGTGCCTATGAACAGTGAACAGAGAACAAAATACCAAGCAGCTCCTTCATATGAGCGCAACACCTATTCTATAAAAACACCTGCCTTTATAAATGAGGCAAAGGTCGTCGGAAAAAAAATAATAAAAGGACAGTGATCATGTAGTAATTAAAGGTTGTCTCATAATGCATACATATAAGGGAGGTGAAAGAAGGCTGCATGGTGCACAGCTAACAAAAAAGTAGGAATCTGTTCATTTATGCAAGAATTGGAACAGGAAACTAACTCAATCTGAGTAAAACTGACCCATCTATTTCTGTTTTCCAAGCACATGTGAGTGTAGAAAGCAAAGACAGCTTTCCTAGAGGCTGCTGTGGATGGGACAGCACCAGAGTCCACACCATTCCCCACTGATGTCAACAGTTGTTCGCTCAGGCTCACAGGTCAGTAAGCATGGAACAACTGGGGCCAAACTGCAGAGACAAATTTTTAGTTAAACTTTTATCTAAAGAAAAGATTCTAGTGATTGAAACATCAAAATACATGTACCCTGCATGCTTAGACTTCTAATTCTAGTTACAAGAGTTCTACAAGCTAATGGATGGTTGAATGGCAATCTGTGTGTGCAGATACCGATTTTATAAAATGATGACAATGGTATATGCCTATGCAAATCTGTGTGCACGAACATGTTGATGTCATGTTGATGTATGTATACACACTGTGAGCTTGGATCCATACATCTGCCTTTAAAACTTTTAAGAATAGCATAAATTATGGTTTTTTTGAAGCACTGCCTCCTTAACTGTCATTCCACTATAGCAAATTATAACTCTATCAGATGGATGAACACTACAGACCTTGGGTTATTATTACAGCAGACAGAACTACATGAAAATTAAGGTCTGCAAACAATTCAATTCCCAAGGTGTTCTTATTTCAGTATCAAACTGAACAACAGGTTTAACTGTGTTAGGAATATCAGCAACTTGCACTCCTTTCTATTTATTTACAGTCAGTAACACTCCATTCATTATTTAAAAAGTTCATTCAAAGCAGTTACTAAGTGAATTCTCTCACAGAAAGAAAAATGGAAGATTTTTTTTTAAACCCTTCTCAAAGATTCCAGACTTGCTTTACTCATCTGTTGCTAACTCAACTAAAATAAACAAAAACTACTATTAAAAACATACCGAGCATGCACTCAAAATGAAGGAAAAAGGCAAACTGATTAATGTTTCACATCTGAAGTCATTTCCTTGCACCTGCAGCTCCCATCTAGGAAAAATACTACAAACACCACTGAAAACAAGACTAGTATTCAGAACATGGGCAATTATTTTCACTGTTTTTACTTTCCCTGTCCCCACAATTCCTAAAGCTGGGAACTTTTACAGTTATTTTGGACAAGGTGAAATTACACCACTATGATATTTAAAATTACCATTTGTACCTCTGTTTATTTTAAATCCTTTATTCATTTAAACACTGACAGCACATTTGTTCAAGAAGGAACTTGAATAATAAACTTTGTTTATTATAAACTTGACTTCATTGCTTCTGCATTTGCAACTCCTGCTGTGATTGCTTATCTACCTGTACCAGACACTGACATAAATACAGTCTTTAAGATTTCTTACAAAGAAAGTGAATGCATTTACAATTGGATATAGCCCTATCCCCTTTTCATTTTTAATCATAGTGACCAAACAACAGGATGATGTTAAAATTCTGTTCCCAGCAACTTCAATGGGAGCTGGATTTAGGCCACTGTGAAACAAGGTAAAAGCACAAAAAGCACACAATAAAATTTATATAGTACATAGCTCTTTCTCCACCAAATCAAGTATCTTCAAATGAAGGAAAGGATCTTTTTTTCATCTACATTAAGCACATAGCTATGGACATATTGCACATATTCAAATAAAAAGTACCTTAAGAAACCTGAAATAAAAGCATCACTTCCTCTTGCTTGAATAATTAAAAACACTGAACAATTTTTTTATCCATAACCAAAATGGTTGTTTCTGGGTGCAGAAACAACATGCAGTATTTTTCATCTTATGAGACTGGAATTAGATAAGCTACAAATTGATATTTCATAGCAGAGTGCTGGACAAAGGGAGAAGTTTCTAGTAGATGGGTAGTTCAATTACAATGCAGTCTAGCTATCACAACTAATAGTATAATGTGCTAAGACATTTTGCAGCATTTAAACAGTCTACTGACACAACTCATCTCACATCAACCAGGAGCAACAAACTAACTTTTTCTCACCAAAATGCGAGCCCCTTTCTTACCACCAGATTAAAACACCGGCCTGCTTCATGTTTTTAGCAGTTTCATGATTTCTGTAATTTTCAAAAAGTTTCAGCTGTGTAATAGTGTAGTGTCATATTTATGATTTTGGACACCATAATGCAGACAAGGCTCATGTAGTCACTAGCATTTTCCACACTATGCCAAACATAACCGCTCAGGGTCTCAGTAACATGGTACAGTAAACAGCTGCAGCAGTGGAAACATTAACTCCCTTAACACCGCAAACGTTCCTCCACAGGGCAGAGCTGCTACAGTGGAGCTACTATGCCTAACTTCTGGGCCACTTGACATATGAAAGAATCCACAGGTCTGTCAGCTATTTGTAAGATACATGGGCATACATCTCAACCCATAAGAGTGAGATTCAAAACGGCAAGCGCACGAGGAAAGAATCCCTGTGGCTGGAAGAAACAGGGAAGTGTTAGACCCCATTCCCTCAAAATCAGAGGCCCTTACTCTGTGTTGCAAGGAGACATTTACCACCATCCTGAATCCCCTCAAAGATTTCAACCATAACTCCAGAAAAGGCAGACTTCAGCAAAGAAACTGGTTTCAGAAGTTCACTCATACCCCTTCTCTCTTCCCCTGCCCCTCACTCTCATCACACTGCTCTTCTAGTGATGCCAACTATTTGTCATGTTGTGCCTTTTGTTCCAGGCCTGTTTTTAACCATGATGACTTTAGTCACCTGGTTCACAGACACCCCCATGAATGGGTGGTGTCCCACAGCATTACGGAAGCAACAAGCTGCAGTGCCATGGCACAAGCTGGATTCATCACCAATGACAGGATTTCCTAGAATTTTGGGTTCAGAGAGCTATGTCATTCACTTCTCAAAACAAAACGCTGGAGGACAAGACAGTCCCCCTTTTAATGCTACAACCAGTGGTTAGAGGGCTTTTTCAGAAAGACCCAGGGGGAGGTAAATTTCTATTTATAACCCCAGGTGGGTTTTCTGCGTAACAGATGGTACAATATACTGTGATGTGACTTGCTCAATCTTCTCTTTTGAAGCTGTTCTATTTTGCATGGAATAATTATACGCCATTTATGTCAGCAAGAGAACAATCTAAGTGTGTAGTTCAAGTGATTAATATATGCAGTTGGACGTCGGGAGGGCAGATTCCAATTCCTAATTCAACATTATATTTTACAACCAAGCCTTCACCAATCCAGGAAGAAATCCTGTTCTATGAGAACACCTGCTCTTAAGAGTGGGCTGCCACTGCATGGTATCACCGTCAGAGAAAGTCTACTGAAAGAAAGAAACAGCACATCTTGAACATCACATTTAGATTAATACTTCAGTAACAATGTTTTAGAAAGCATGGGAGTATGGACCATGATGAGGAAACAAACATGGGTGCAATGTCACAGAGTGATCGGGACATCACTCTCTGACTTGGTGAGAAAGAAACCGTTCTCATAAGCAAGACTGTGAACTTATAAGCATTGAATGAAGCAGCACGCACAGAGGAAGGAAATAAAGTCAGAAATATAATGTGCACACACTGTTACAGTTTATAGAAGTTTTCAGTTACATTCCTACTCTGTGTTTCTTCTCTATCAGAAACAGAGAGGTACCAGGGAAAAGACTGACTGATCACAACCAAAACCCATGAGCTAAAAGACTACAGGAGACAGTTCCAGTACGGTAAATGACCCTATCTTTGAGAACATCAGCACCTATGAACGTTGACTTTTCGAAGTATCAAGTTTAAAAAAAAAAAAAAAATCACCCATTGTTTACATTATCAGATACTAGCAGGGTGTCCGATTTATGTATCAACCTGAAAAAAAAGTTCTGCCCTCTAGCAGGTAGGAATTGCACCAATATTGCCAAGTTGCAGTTGCCATTCTCTTTTCACCACAACCAGAAGTGGTGATTTAGTTAGTCAAACCAAAAGTTTAGGTCATTTGTTTTTTTTCAGAAAGTGAGGAACAACCCCAAGCACAGTACCTGAGAAAGAACAAGCTGCCCATGGAACCTATGGACAAATTTTCGTAAAGATGCAAGGTATGAAGCCTCTCCTATTGTCCTTGCCAGAGACCGCAAAAGGAAATAACCCTGCAAGAAATTAAGCCAGAAACAAATAGAATGCTATGAATTCACTGACATCTAGAAGAAGGAAGTCTCTATCATATTAGTAAAGCAATTTCAATAAAAATCAGCTGACAACACTCACCTTCAAATAGTGAACCTGCATGAAGATTTTTTCTGCTTTAAGACCATGTTTGACAACAGATGCTCCAGACTCACTCAATTCTCCTGTGCTCTCCTTTTTGGGCCTAAAATGGTAAACACACTAATTAAGTCTTCAATAAGTAAGTAAAGAAATAACTCATACATTACACATTCTCATAGTTGAAAGCATCATGAATGACATACTAACTTTAGACACCTGTGACTAGTTCAGTCTTTTTCTTTACCCTAAGTACGTAACTTGGCTTGGACAGACAAACAAACGTCATACTTCTAATGCAATTTTGTACATAGCTGACCACATAGCTGGGGTACAAACAAAATCCATCACTAAGTTGGTGTACTCTTTTCACTGCCAGCATGACATCACATTGCATGCCATTCTACAGTGCACAGACACATTATGAACAAAGAGGAACAAACAAAAAAAGACATTTTAAGGGGAAGGGGAAAGAAAGGGGAAGGGAATTGAAGTCATTATGTTCAACTAAAGATTTCTCTTCTTATACCTGAACATTGGCTTAACAGCTTACACGACTATACTTGCAAGAATAACCTCTTTCACCTGCATGCAATACACTGCAGAAGAAATAATGGTCTGTTTTTCATTTTTGCAGTTTGGGATTGGAAGAAAAGTAGTTGAAGTTTTAAAAGAGCAAGCCTTTCACATACACACAGGTTTGGGGTTTACAGACAATAATGTCTGGAACAAACCTACTTCTTCACTGCCTAATTTTAAAATGTAATACAGCATCTGGTATGCCAGAAATCTACAGCAGTAAAGTTTGGAGGACTTCTAGGCTCTTACAAGCACAGAGTGAAACTGAAGAGAAGCTATGCAAACATTTTTTCTTCATTTGTAAGCAGTGCTGTCATAGGCATAGTACTGAAGAGCCCTCTAGCTTTTTTTCTTCCATCCAGAAAACATCCCAGCTAACAGAGGTCTGGGAATAGATGTCTGTCTTAGGAGCCTAACACTCTGACTGAAGCAACCTCTCCAATTCTAACTGTGGATTTTGAAATGGACAGTCTTGGAAACCAAACATCTTTCCCCCCACTTTCACAGAATAGGGGCAACACAGGCCACAGCAGAGCAGGATTCTTCAAACCACATCACTCCCACACTTCTCAGGAGCTAATCCCTGTGATCAAATTTCTTTCATATTTATGTCTGCTTTGAGGAAAACATTCTTCCTTTTTTTTGTATCTGTGTAGTGGTTTCTCATTAGAGTTTTGTCCAGAGTGCTAAGCTGTTTTTTTCACCCTTTAGGCACTATATTTAGGACCTGTGCACATGAAATTCACTTCACACAGTAAAATCTTGTTAAAATATAACTGTTTGAAATAAAATAGAAAAACAAAATGCAGATTCAATTTTATACTGTTCCTAACACAGTCCTTTACCACGGTATAGTTCATATTTTCTTTCAAGGAAGATCTTCCTTCAACATTGAAAGGAGGAGATCAATAATTGATTTCTTATCCTATGGTCACTCCAGTTCTTCGAGACAACATCATTGCAGATCCACTGTAGAAGAGCAGAGGTCCACCTCTGCATTCTGGATCAGTCTCCTGGAAGGAAGGCCTGCTGGCATTCTATACGCGACTTTTCATTGTTCTCTGCATATATAAAGAGCCAAAACTGCTTCATTTATCTCATAATAAATAGCCCAGTCTATAGACTTTAAAAAATGGAGTTTGAGCACAGGCTACAGGATCCACACTACACTGAAATACCTCCCATAATCACAATTACTCTAAATCAGGCAACCATACTTCCTTCCTTCCTCCTCCAACTTTGTGCCTGTGTAGATCCTAATAGGTGACTAGAAAGCAGTATCCCATCTGGATGATGGTACTGAAGAATTTCCTTTTGCAAAGGATGTATATATACTCCTGATAATGTCTGCAAAAGAGTGAAATATTCAGAAAATTACCCTGTTCTCTGCTGGTCAGTACTTCAGCATACTATTTTAAAGCAATGCTTAGTATATTTATAACACATTGAAGGTACAGAGACTGAAAGTTTGTTACACTGACCTACAAAACCTGGCATCTAACCTAGTTGATGAAGCTAGGCATAATGCTAAAGGCAAGCTGATTCAAGGTATTCAAGCTGCTACCTGGCACATTTTAGATACTGGCAAATTTCTGAAGGAAGCAAAAGATGCTGCTTTTTGTTTGCTGGGCAGAGAAGTACATTGTACAAAGTAAAAGCACAATTCACGAGGAAGTCCTTGGTAATTAAATGCTCTGATGTGCTAGGTAGTCATGAAAACCTACGCAGAGACCACAACAGATCATCTGAAAGGCATGTTTCCTATCAGTGTGATAGAATAAAACTCTTTAAACACCTACAGAGCAGTCAGAGAGCATTGCTTCAGGAGGGAATGGACTTGACTCAAGTGGAACTCAGAGACAACTTTAGAATTAGATATCAACACTGGTTTGTCTTGATGAAGAATCACAAGCTGCAGTTCAATCATATGGGCCACGACATGAAACAATCTCAACACCAGCTTTATTCCACAGAACAAAAACGGACTTCTCTAGTCTTCTTTGCTTTTATAACATGAGAGACTGGATGAGAGTGCTGGTGTCAATGCTTGCCAGCAGAATGAGTGCCAGGACATATTTCACAGGTGCTTTTATCCCTGCAGGTTTGCTTCAAACTCTGTGAGAAAATACACAGGATTCTGTCTGAAGTCTTATCCTGTATGAGCACTACAGTGCCACAAATTCCCTCTTCAACACTAAGATTTCATGATGCTGCCTTTCAGAGCTGCTGCCCACTGAAAAGACGCTTACCTATTTCTTTCATACCTGACTTCTTTTTTCACAGGTAGCTTATAAGATGCTACTATAACATAATATCAAATATCCATAATAAGAAGAAACATCATGCTGATGATCAGTTTGCTGAGTGGCTTTCGCCTAGTCTGAACAGGTATTCATTTGCTGGATCAAAAGTTAATAGGATCAGCTGACAAGTTTTGGGCAGGATTTTCCGGCTGTCAGGAGAAAGCACAGAAAGTCCTGTGATCATCCAGCAGGTAACAAAAACATAACTGAAGAATAAGCTTATGCTTGGGAAGAGTGGGTTGGCTGATTTTTTACTTCCTGATATAATTGGCAAGAAGTAACAAGCAGTTATCGTTTAATTTTAATATCCTTGTATAAAAACACAAGCCTGAACCAGCAAAAGCCTCAGTACAGACCCAAAACCCAGTGCAATGCCAAGACTGAAATTTTCTCTCTTACATGCTGTCGTAGTTTAACCTCAGCCGGCAACTGAGCACCACACAGCCACTTGCTCACTCCCCCCGCCCCAGTGGGATGGGGGAGAGAATCGGAAGGGTAAAAGTGAGAAAACTTATGGGTTGAGATAAAAACAGTTTAATAATTGAAATAAAATAAAATAGTAGTAGTAATAGTAGTAATAATAATAATAATAATGATAGAAGAATATACAAAGCAAGTGATGTATGATGCAATTGCTCACCACCCACCAACTGATGCCCAGCCAGTCCCTGAGCAGCGATCACTGTTCCCCAGCCAACTCCCTCCAGCTTATATACTGAGCATGACATCACATGGTATGGAATATCCCTTTGGCCAGTTTGGGTCAGCTGTCCGGGCTATACTCCCTCCCAGCTTCTTGTGCACCTCTTTGCTGTCAGAGTATGGGAAGCTGAAAAGTCCTTGACTTAGCATAAACACTGCTTAGCAACAACTAAAACGTGAATGTGTTATCACATTATTCTCATGCTAAAACCAAAACACAGCACTATGCCAGCTACTAGGAAGAAAATTAACTCTAGCCCAGCTGAAATGAGGACACATACCAACTCTGGAAAGCACATGGACATACGTTCAGAAGGAAGAAGAAAAAAAAACAGTAAATGTACAAAGAGAGAACGTATTCAAGTCCATGCCACAAAAATAGTAGAGAATATTTATATCTGACTGAAACCAGTGGAAAGTCCTTAAATGCAACCACAGGAAACTAGAGACATCAGAGAGGAAGAGACTGCCAGAATCCCAAGATGTATCACGTTCCTCTCCTGAAGTGTATATTAGAGGCATATTTTTCAAACAAGAAACGATTTGTCATTCTTCTGTATTAGCATTGAGAATACCACCATGTAAAAGGTTAGCAGCATGCTTATTAGAGAGACTTAAGTCTACTAACTGTGGAAGTCAATAGAAAGCTTAAGTTTCAATGTCAAGACAAAACAATCCGTCCTGAGTTTCAAACTACAAAGGATATTTTGGCCCTTAGAAAAATGATTTTAAAAATTTACACCACACACACATTTTATTAAAAGTAACAACTACACAATTAACACAAAAGACGACAAATGTGATTCCATAATGTTGAAAATGGAACCATATATCCAGATAAGCCTCATATCACAAGAACCAATGTTCCTAAAAATAATTTATTTTAAAACAAAGAAAAACCTCAGTGTCTGTCAATCAGTAGTTCTGTTGGTAGCAGCTGTATGACAGCTAGTGATAAGGCTTGCTTTATTATTTACACCTATCATCAAATTGCACACTTGCAAATATAGAACTTCACTGACTCAGCTTACACACAGCATACACAATTCATCAGTAAGCATGAAGTAAAACAGATCAATGAAAGACTACAGTCATGTAAAGTTGGTGACATGTTTTCAGATGACATGAGGCCAGAAAGAGGAATTTCTGTGCTGGTGAACAGTGCCCAAATATAAAAGGCTTTTAGGTCCTATTGGGAAAGCACAAAAAGAAGGGAAGACCTCAAAATGAATGAAATGGCAACAGTCTTCCAAAAACATTTAAAAGTTGATTATGTAGAAGACGGGGATCAATTTATTCTTCACTTCCACTTGGTGAAAGAAAAGAAGACATCTACATTGTTTGAAATAAACAATATTTCACCTGTGCAGTAGAAAGGAATTTTTAACTCTTAACACTAAAACAGCTTAGCTAAGTACCATGGAAACTTTTTTTATTGGTGGTTTCTAAGAACATGTTAGCAAAAACCTGCTTAAGATGGTCTGTGTATACTGCCTGTATTTCAGGGTAGGAGAATGGTCTACATAATCTCTTGAAATCTGTCCCTGTACTTCTGTGATTTGTTCAGTGTAGGGCTAATTTGAGTTAGGATTGAAGTAAACTTGTTTTTCTTGGTCAAAGACTGTGGGGAGACAAGTAGTGGAGATGTTGGGTAGCCACTCAAGATAAAAGACTATGGCAAATTCCCAAGACACCAATCAGAACAGCCCAGATTATTAATCATTAGCAAAGCAAGAATCTTTTTTTGATCTAATGTCTTTAGCTGTGTAAGAAGAAGCCTTGAGCTCAGCATCTGGTACCTAAAGACCAAAATCTTGTTTACATAGCATTATTAGTCGTTTCTAAAGACAAAGTAGATTTGTGTAGTTCATTATGCTTTTTCCTTTGTTTTTTAAAGGTTCATTCAGCTTGGCAATTAAGATGCCATACTCCTGTATGTGCTTGTCTTCAGTCACAGAACGTGAATCTGTTACGGCTTCAAACAGTGAACTTTGTTCAGGAAACGGCCTTCTTTTTTCCCTGAATAGAGGCTCTTGTAAACTGCTTAGAGACATTTTATATCAAACTAAATCCCATGGTTTTTGAAAGCTTTCTATAACAAAGAGAAAAGCAACTGCATTATACAGAAGATGAATAACCTAGTCAATTTAATTTGACTTTTATTTTTTCTTCAGGAGGAAATTAGGAAATGCAGTGGATTTAATCAGGTGATTTGGATGCATATCCTTTGAAGGGAGAAAATGGTGGAAAACAGGAGAGAGAGAACATGCAAAAGCAAAGATTACACTGTCATATTGTTACCTTAAAACTTGCAGCTCTTCTTCAGAGTTCTGCACCTCATCTCTGAGTCGTCGCCAGCGAAGTAAAGCGCCCTCTTACTTCATCATGTGAGAGCTGCTTAGTGTACAAAAAACACAGATAACTGATTGCTGTTTCTCAACAGGCAATAATAATTTTCAGAAAAAGAAACTTGTTTTGTTTCCCTTTAACGTGAAGAAAATGCAGGAAACAGTACCAATATCCATGATAAAAAAAACCAAAACAAAAATAACAGTTGCTGCTATAAGAGTTAATAGCAGCACTAAGGAAAACAGAAGCCTCACTGCGCGCATCAAATCAATAGTCGGTTAAATATTTCTGTCTAAGGAGATGGGCATGTTGTTTTCCCTTTAGTGACCGGCAATAAGTGAACTGAATGTTCAGTACAGATATCTGGCATACCAATTTTGGTTGCATCTTCACTCTTCCCAGCCTTGAAAGCAAAGAGCTGCTTTGTGACCTGACTTCACCCCTCTTTCCTACTACTTCTGACACACTTGTGAAAGCTCCCTGTTGTATTTTCCCCCATTTACATAATATTAAGAGAGATGCATGCTTATGAAATAAATGCCAGGTTGTCAGCTTACAAATAACAACTAATTTATGCTTCTCTATTATAAGAAAAGATGGGAGATGGAAGAAAGCAAAAGCAGCTAATATTATCCTGCATTACACCAATATTTCTGTCACATGAGATTATTGTCAGGCACTATGGAATATACTTATAATCCTACAATTGTATGATTGCACAGCACCAAAACTCCTCATAAATTCTAAGAAGGAAAAAAAAAGCAATAATACATTTTCTGACCTTATAAATTAACAAGGGCACTAATCACTCTGTTTTGTTGCTTACTCCTTTCCATTCAGCTACATGGAAGGGTGTCTACTACAATAAAAATGCTTTCAAGTGACTCACAAAAGCGTAGAATTAATGTGAACAGCTCACAGCAGAGGAGTGATGCTCAATGCAAGAGCAGAAATTAGTTTTAGGACTAGAAGAGAAAAGCAAAGTATTTGGACAGCCTTCCTCACTTTCTTATTCCAGAAACATGGTAAGTGACAAGGAATTCTGTTTTGTTCGGTGCTATAAATATGCCTGATACTTAATAAAATGGAGGCTCAGAAGAGTGTATACGATGTCAGTTCCCAGTCCCATCTGCTCTTCCACAGATGGAGCTCTGCAGACGTAAGGGGTAGAGTCAGGGCCTGACACAAGAACAAGAATAAATGACTAACACACAAAATGCTTGAAGTAGCAGAGGTATAACGAAAATAAGAATTGGATCGCTTTACAAGCTGACATGCAATTTATGAGCTTTTCACTTTAAGGCAAACAATGATTTCTAAGCCTCTGGCATGAGGGTAACTCTTGCTGGGCAGTGTAAGAGAAAAAAAGTGTAAGTGCTGGTGCCCAATTTCATCAGCTTCCATTTTGTTTTGATGTACACTTCTTGGCTGTCCACTGGACAAAACCAGACCACTTTCATTAGGTACCTGGAATATTAACACTATTCAGTAAGACTCTGCTGATTATTCTAGTTTCAGGAACACAATACAAGAGGAAAGAATGCAGAGCAACTGTGTGATAGCTGAATTGTAATAATTGAGTAGTACATTTGTGGGAAGGTAATCATTGACAAACAGATGTTTCCATTCTCATTTGCACTGGCCTCTACCTCTGTAAAGATTGGTGTTCATTGTGGATCAGGAAGGATTTTTTTTTTTTTAAATCAAGTTATCATGCAAATTCCAACATTATTTTAAAAGACTTATCTTCATAACACAGGAGCTTTAATTTATATCTAATTCACAGCAGGATATATAATTTTGATTTCCACATAATTCAATTGAGAAGTGATGTATCGTCACCTTACCTGTTGTGCCCTAGCCCAAAATATATCTTCTAAAAAAGTGGCAAACCCTTCACTTATCCACTCTTCAGTCCAATCACGCGCACCAATGGCCAGTCCAAACCAAGCATGAGCAATTTCATGGCACAGGCGTGTTCCACAGAGATGGCTCCCTCCTGGTAATACACTCTGTGACAGGAAGATGATGTGTGGGCTGCACAATAGGAATGAGTGACAAAATACATTACTGACCTGTTGTAACATGCATTGCATGGCCATAATAATGTATAGGCTTTATTAGCCTTGTCAGCCTGTTATTACTATATGCATGCTAGATCATGACTGATAGTTTATAGCTCAGGCGTTTTTAGGAATTAGACTGTACTTTATTGTTGGTTGGCAGAGAATCAAACCAAAATTCTGCCAAGCAGTTGTTTTGTATTCAACCGTCAAACAGCTATTACCTGTAAGAAGTAACTTACACCAAAGTTTTATATTTTTCAAATTACAAGACTGATTTACTTCAATAGAAGCATTTATATATAAGCCAGGATAATAAAAGATGAGCAGGTGTGAATATAGGCAGCAAGTATTTAGCAGTTAAATGATCAAAGCTGGAAATAAATAAAGCAGAAACATTTTATAAAGAAAACAAATCACTATCCAAGAGCAACAAGAGCCACGTATAGTAAAGCACATGTGCTTGTTAAAACTTAAAACAAGCTAAAAAGATACCATCTGATGATAAGAGTTGATCATTCCTGCAAATGCAGAGGAAGAAGAACATCCTTTACCACAAGCACAGAAGTGAGAAGGAGACTCAATATTCACTAATTATCTGCTTTTCACAACAGGGGAGAACAACCCAGTCTGTATCTACTCTGCTTTGCACTCAAGTACTGTAAGAAGAAATTGGGGGGAAAAACTGTTATGAATTATTGCTCTGCTATTGAAAACACTTACAGCGAATTGCAAGTTACTGCAGTTCCCAACTCATGTTCTGCGGTAAGGCAATTTCTACTATGCTTATAGACATTACAGATGTTAACATCTCAAAAGTTACATAATTTTTGAAATTAAGTACATCTAGGAAAGAAAAGTAGCAGAATTAAGCCCTCTGACTAACACGCAAGGGATGAACAGGCACCGTGCCACATATGGGAGTAGGAAGGGCACAAACCAAGACCACCAACTGCAGAGTATTCCTGCACTAACCCTCAGCGTCCATAATCTGCATTTCAACTGTTTTCTCAACTCCAGACAGTTAGAAAGGAAATAAAGCATAACGGTAATACCTTCAAGACCACAGGTCTTTAAAACTAAGTCTAGCCTTCTGAGCATGGGAGGGGAGCGCATGGCCTTAAGACATTTCCAAGAGTCAAATATTATTCGTCAGCGTTCCAAAGAGCTTCCCCACCCACCCTACCCTTCCGTTGGAAATGTTAAAACACCCACAGTTTTCTTGCAACCAGTTGAGTGTCTGGAACTGAGACCATAAAATATGATACACACTTAAATAGAAAAACATACTCAATAACCATCTCCTCATAAAATAATAACAGTCATCCAGCAAAGCAAGCTAATACATTTCAATCAGCTGGCATTGTAAGAAACAATGTAAGAAATTAAAGCACTAATAGAAGAATCAAGTCACAGAGAACAAAGCAAGAAAAACCAGCAGCTCTCCAAATGTTCAGCAAAGGCAATTCTGATTAAGAGAAGTGAAGGGGGGAAAAGTGAAGGAGGGAAATAGGGGGGAAAAGTGCAAGAGCAGAAGCTGCAGAACATGATGAACCTTTTATTACAAAGCCCCTGATGAGAAGAATAACTGCGGCTTCAGGGGTATTACTTTGGTCAGTTGTAAGTAAATGACCCCTAACTGTGGCATGTGTACAGTGCTACAAAGAAAAACTGCAGAAATGGACCAAGTAAATAACATTCCAGACATACTGCTGGCAGTGTTTCAGCCATTTGGTCAAGCAAAACAAAAGTAACTTCATGCCTTATAAACAGACTCACAGAATGGTTTGCATTTTAAGTCTACTGTAAGTAAACACACAATAAAAGTAAAGATTGTATTTCCTGCTTTTTCCAATCACTTAAATAACAGAAATGGCACATTTGGACAATCTTCTCCTTTATGGAAGGATTATAAATAACTTCAATGAGAAAAATGTATATGAGTTAAATTTTGGCCAAAGAATAAAAATACAACTTTCTACAAGGCCAAAAATAAGATTATGTGCTGCAGCAGAATTTCATTTTAGAGTCTGGGTACAGCCAGCAACTTCCTTTCCTGGGAAGACCTTAAATGATTCCTTTTATTTTGTTTGCCCTTAACAAGCAGCAATATCTCCAATTCAAAGCCTCTTATACCAACAGATATCACTACAGAGCAGTGCAAAGTTCCCATTTACCTTAAGAGTAATTTTATCAAAGACTGGACATGTTTTGTAGTATGTCCAGCATCTATTAGTTTGGGGAGAAGTTTGATTCTATTTATTAGTTTAAAATACAGATCCTCTATTTCCAATACATGTTTGGATTCCAGAAACTCTGCTCCACCTCTACTGATACCAACCAAATCTACATTTTTTTACATCATCTAGGATGTACAATGTTATTCATTGCACATTGTTACTATCAGTGTTGTTCTTAAAACACTCAGTAATTCAAGAAAGTGTCTATGTGAAAAATAAGATAACCAGGATGATGAGTAAATTGCAATAACCAAAAACTTTTTTTTTAAAACCAGAATAGGAATTTGGCCCTCCTACCATCCATTTGATTTACTAGAAACAAATTATAAGGCTTGATATCCATTGCTTTCATTGGAATTGAAAAGGAAAGAATGCCATTCATACACTAGGAATGGACAAAGGTGATTCACCTCAGCAATTACATTAAGATCTGATGAAGTATGTGCAGCTTCTAAATGCCTCTAGCTGATGTCTTTTCAAGTCTGGCCCAAGTTTCTGAAGCAGGCCAGAACAGGCTAGCTGGATGTGGTAAGGAAGATGGAAACCTCTCCCAGTTAACGAAAAAATAAAACCCCTACCAATCCTTCCCAGGAAAGCTGGACAAGTTCCCAATGGCTCTTGCAGAAAAAGAAGTTAATTACTTGTTTTCAACAAGTATACACGTGGTTACACTTTTAAAGCAACAGGTTATTATTGTGACCGGAATCACACCCTCATAACTTAGATCTTCATATCAGTTGACTGAAAGAAGGAGCAAGCTCCCTCTCCCAGTTAAACTGCAGTTAAGAGAAATCTCAACACTGTAACTATGGTATGAATGCATATGAAGGAAAAACTGAGCCCCAAAAGGAAGGATTTGGTGTGAAAGGCCGAAGGGTCCTTATGTTCCAATCATCCAAATCCACCCATGTAGATGTTCTTAATAAATGGTCTCTTTAATAAATAAAAGGTTTCCAATGAGTCCTAGAGCTCTGAACAGTAATCTGGCCAGCTGAGAGGCCAAATCTCAAAGCAATTTTGCAAAACTTTTTCTCCAGACTTACGACTTAGATGCAGGTGGTGCTTTGCACACAGGCTGCAGCAGTATGCTATCTTTGGCTGCTCACACATAATCAGATGCAACACATAGCACAAACTCTAGCCAAATGTACGTGCAAGAACTTAAGTACACATTTAAGCTGGGAACACGAAGCTCATTTCTAACAGACTTGTTCCATTCCTTTTGAAGTAGAAGTCTTTTCCTCTTAACACACAGGGATTTGCAGGTACATTTTCTTATGTATTTATTGAAATAACAGAGCTAAGACCATATCAGCTGGAAAATTATGTTTCTGGAGTCAAAAGTAGCACCCAGGATCACTATTACAGATGGAAGTTATATAACAAAAAAAGTATTTTTCATGTTTTGATAGTACTCCACATATTGCTTCCCTTTTCCTACTTAGAAAAAGGTAGTCAGATAGTAAATGGGTTAGATAGTTACTGTACTTCTAGAAAATCCCTTCTTAAACATGTAGAAGGGAGCAGGGGAAATCTCCCTAAAAATATTTTCATAGGAACACATTAAGATACACATTTCAAGATTACTGGAATTTGAGAAAGTTAGACAATTAAATGATAGCTTTTTACATATAGTTTGCGCAATCTCTCATCAGTTGCCTTCAACCTACATTATTCCAGTGATACAGAGAACTGTATTAGCATATTGGCTGCAGTATCTACATCAGACTTTGAATGTTAGCTTAATTTATCTTTGCGGACACTTGTGCCATTGGAATGCAGACACAAGAACGTGCAACATCCACTTACTTACCTCTATAATCTCCAGCATTCTGGTGTATGTTACAGTCCAGTACTGAGAGAACTACAGAGACAAACAACCTTTTTAATCTTCAAGGTTTACAGTGTACCAGAAGCTCAAATATACATGCAGATACCATTGTAGAGACAAGGACCTGGTAGTTAGAATACTCTGAGCCTTGTTCCAGAAATAATGGAAACTTCGTGAAGTTTTCCTTTCCTACCATCATAGTGGGAAGCCAGCAAGTGACTGGAAGTTACAGCTGAAAGTCATTCTAGAGCAGATGACTAACTTTTTACTCCATAAATCATGCAATAATTTGCATGGTAATTACAATACCCAAGTAGGTGAGGCACAACTCCTGTGTGTTGGAAGGAGGATGGCATCAGCCAACTCAGTACAGCAATTCAACATCCAAACTTCAAATTTCAGTCAAGCAACTAATTAATGATCTGAACACCTGAGCAGCAGCTGCTCCATGAATTGGCAGATAATCACTTCAGTCTTACTTATTTCGCCATTCCAAACCAGATTAGTCAGGATGTGTATAAACAAGGGTGAAACCCTCTCAGGAGAAACTCTCTTTATTAATGTTCAACAGCAAAACCAGTACTTGGCATAAAACTGAAGAAATTATACAGTGAAAGGAAAAAGATAACATGAGCCTAAGCTCAAACAGCTGCTACACAAACAACTGGATTTGTAACAACTCTTGATATTTCTCATTATCTCAAATCCCATATTACACCAAATGAACAGCCTTGAAGTAAAAACCTGCATAAAAAGACAGTATGTTTTTATCACGTACAACTGTGACATACACCACCTTCCAAAGTCTTTGGACTTACAATTCAACTATTTATTTGATTTGTCCAGACATTATTCACCGAGCAAATTTTATAAATTTTCTTCAGATACCAAAATAGCTCTGGA